TTAATTTAAGTCCACTGTAAGTCCCAAGGTCGGCAGAGCATAGCAGGCTGCTGAGCAACGACACGGCTACATACAGGGTCCAAGTGTGTCAAAGGCTAGAGACCATTCCCAAAACTGCTGCTTATATACAGGAAGCAGACCCTATCCCAAAGGCAGCTACTCAGCTGCTTGTGGTAGATCCCACCATGGAGCTGATTGCCATTCTCATCATGGGGAATAACTACCACCAGCTGCCCAGCCACTCAACCAGGCCCAGCCAAGCTGACACACAAACTGAACTACCACACACAGTGATAGACACATGAACTCTTACACACAACAGCTGTCTAGATTCCAGGGACACCTTTGAAATCAGACTGAAGTTCTGAGCCAGTTTTTATTGATGTCCTTCTGGTTTCCCCACAGGAGGGAAGTGGAGGAGATGAGAGAGCAGCGGGGGTTGAACAACTCCCCCATCTCCATGTCAAGCCCTGAGGATCCAGAAGATCTCTACGAAGTCTATGAGATGGCCGCTACCAGGTGGGATGGAGTAACAACACCAGGAAAAAAAAAAAAAAAAAACATGCTGAAGACTGAGAAACAGAAATACTTCTTCCCAGAAGAGGAGGAGGATTCCATTATAGTTTTTTGTAGGCTAAGTGAAGAGCAGGAGTGGGGAGTTTTGTACTTGGGTCACTGCATTTATTCACGCAGTTAGTTTTTAATTCATTTACTTATCTTATTTAAAACATTTTCAGTTGTTGTTAGTTCCTGTCAAGTTGCTTCTGACTGATAGCACCCCTATGTGTTAACAGTAGAAACGCTCCACAGGGTTGTAATGTTACTGGACTTTCAGTTGATAGTGCCCCCATGTGTTAACAGAGTAGAACCACTCCACGGAGTTGTCATCTTACTGGAAGCACTGGAAGCACATCTCCAGGACTTTTCTTCCTTGTCACCTCGGGGTGGGTTCAAACCACCAACCTTTAGGTTACTGGCCTAACAGAAACCATTGTGCCACCCAGGGACCTTACCTAATGTATAGTCAACATAACATTCTTGGTTTTAGCTGCTACCAAGTTGGCCCTGGCTATTGACAATCCCAAGCACAACTGAACAAAACCCTGGTAGACCAGACCGTTGTGACCCACAGGGTTTTCACTGGCTGAGTTTGGGAAGTAGACTCCTACTCTGTCTCGGTCTGAAAGCTCTGCTGAAACCTACTGAGAGTAATTTTAGTACTTACTAAATTAAATAAAGATTGGGCAGTCTACTTCCGTAGAGATACTGCCTCGGAAAGCCAAGGGGGGGTCGCTATGAGTTGGGATTGACTCGATGGCAGTGAGTTTGGTTTTGGTTTGGAAATTAAATAACTCATAGCTCTACAAAGATTATTACAAAAAAATCACACCTCCATGGACCCCCTTTCCCTTTCCTCAACAATAATGCTTTCCCCATTTTTAACTGATTCTTTGATACCTGTTTTTCTCCACATAGCTGAGTATCCTTGATTTCTCAGCGATGGACATGATCTGTTGCTGGCGTCTCAGCAGGAAAGGCGAGGACTGGGCTCCCTCACATACATGTTGTTGTTATGTGCCATTGAGTTGGACCCGACTCATAGCGACCCCTTCTTGGGTTTCCAAGGCAGTATCACTACAGAAGTAGATTGCCCAACCTTCCTTCCGAGGAGTGGCTGGTGGATACTGTTCCCCATCCTCCTGATGTGTTTATACTGTAACATTGATCCAGTCATTAATCAGCATTTGTATTATGACACCATCAACACTGTTGTCAGCTGAACTAGGGAGTCATTTTAGTGGTTTTTTTCTTTATCTTTCTTTCCTGCAGAAGTTTTTGCTACCCTTGGAACTAAGTCTTTTCTGTTTGTTTGTTTCATTTGTCTGTTTTCTTGTTTTCATTTTGTTTTGGTTTTCCTTAGGTACTTCTCACAATTTATCTCAGATTCTCCCTTGGTTGTGTAAATCTCCTCCCAGTGCCTTCAGACACTACATACAGTCTGTTGGTTTCACCTTCATCTCCCTGCCTTCTGACCTGCTTTGCGGTGGGTGGTTGAGCTTTAGATGGTTTACATGAGCCTGGATGCCCATTCTTCATTCTCTCGATTACACTGGCTTCTTAACCTGTTTCTGTTTGTGTCCTTGTGGTTCCCCCACAGAGAGGCGATGACCACCAAGAAGTCAAAAAGAGTGCAGAAGGAAGGGGGCATCACCTTTGTCCTCTCATCTCCTAGCTCACCCGCTGGAACCCTGGCCTGAGGACCGGGAGAAGCCTTACAGTAGAGCCTACACGTGTTGTGGAATTTAATCTTCAAAAGAAACTATACCACAAAATGTAGTATTGCTAGTAGGGACACATTTCTACATTCCAAGTCCATGAGACAAAGAATATTAAAGTTCACTCCTACTGGGCCAAAGGCAGGATTTTAGTTGGAGTTCAGTCACTTCATTCATTTACTAATTCTTTCACTCACTTCTTTTTTT